TTGAATAAAACAAATTTTAAAACTAACTTGAAGCTCAAAAAATAGTCTTAGTGCCATAGTTTTAGCAATAATGCAAATTCAATTATCATTTTTAACTCAAATGCAAAAATTCGGAAATTCTGTCAATGTAATTAAAAAAATCTCGGCACTGTTTATTACCCTTCTTTACCCCATTGTTTACATCACTGTTTAATGTATTATTTTTTATAATCATTTGTTTACCGCCCTTCTATATACAAATTCAAAATGATTAAAATGGGGAAAAGTAAAAATGAAATTTGGAATATTTAATTTATTTTTTTTTCATTTTTGTGCATTTATCCGCGATTTTCATGTTATTTTCATAACATTATAATGAAAAGAAGTGAAACTTAATTTTTTTTGTTAAAAAAAAAATACACAGAAAAAAATAAAGAAAAAAAGTTTTTACTCCTTTTTTATGCATGTTTAATTGCAAAGTGAATAGGGAATCCTTATTAAGAAAATTAATGAATAAAATTGTTGTTGTTCTTGCTGTTGTTGTTGTTTTATATGTTGAAGTATTTAAAATGATTATGAAAACGATAAAAACAAATAGTCACATAGAGAGTATTTGTTGTTTTTTATTTATTTAAGTGTTTAAATTATGCAAATGTTAAAAAAAAAACAAAAATAAATAAATTTCATTTGAAAGAAATTATTGCATAGTAATGCAAATATATACCCTAATAATAAGATTTTCGTATAAGAAATTTCATATTAATATTTATTTTAAGAATGCAATTTATTTTAATTTCAAAAATAAAATTAAATTGAATTATTTTAACAAAAATTAACAAAATGAACTTAAATTACATTATTGTAATGCGTCCCAAATTATAAGAGCAATTTGTTTGAAATTATTCCATATTACCCCCAAAATTATCGCATTATTGCATTATTGTTAAATTAATTATTAGGAATGAATATTATAACGATGCGATTTATTTAACTTTTTAAATTAAATTTACTTTATTCAGATCTAGTCCGATTTAGAAACAATTCCTTCCATATCAGTGTATAATAATTTTTAAGAGCATAAGTTTGCAAAAGATGATTATTGTTGGGTTATGCAGTTCAAAGCATATTATTAAAATGTAAATCCAAACAAAGTGTTTTAATATGAGAAAATAATAATTATATGGGGTGTTCATTTTAGAGAGATAATAGTAATAGACTTGTGTAAAATATGTGGACTACTATTGATAAATAATAATTTAGCTTCGAAAAATAATTTTAATTACTTATACTATCTCACCATTATTTATATAACTTGATCATTAATGTAATACAACAAGTAATTTCATACCAATAAATAAATGATATAATATATAATACTCCCATAATAGGGGTATTATAATTTATTTTTTATCAACCATGTACATTAGACCTATATCCAGATCCCTAACAAACCGCAGTATAGTAACCAAATCAATACGCGAGATCCTCCACGGGGCCATAAAGCCCCCCCCCTCCCCTCCCTCCTCGCGAAGTACCCTAGTCGCAGGTGAGCAACTGCCTCGGAATCGTATAATAAATGTTTCATCTTCCACATCCTCCGCCCTACCCATCCTTTCAGATGGACCATTGAGAGGCAGTGCCCAGTGAGGACATCCACCAATATAGTCTCGAATCTGTACTACCAAGCATGGTCACCTTACATCCATTCAATATCTTAAGAGAGACATAAATTTCCTAAAGTGCGAAAGGCTCGGGATAATAAATGATAAAAAAAGCAAGAACAGAAAAATTTTTCTTTGTGTTAGTAGATTCAAACGTTTACCTCAAAAAATTTTGGATTCAAAAAAGAAGACAGAAATTTTTTAACTACCAAATTACAAATGCAGTATATGGGTAAGAGGGACGAAACGTAGTATGAAAATTCAAGTAATGAAAGATGACGACGACTCGTCTGCCCTTACGGATTGAAATCATAAACGAAATAGAAATATTTTATTGCACGAATTCAAGTATTTTACTATTATGCAAACTTTCAAAACATTATTCTAGATAGAAACCAAGAATAAGTATCAAACTAAAATTTCCCGATAAACATAATAATTTATAACCGATTTCAAAAAATAAAACCATACATAAATTATAAATTTTATTAAAACAGAGCATTTTGCACGTTTTTGTTTTTCCATATTTCTTTTATAATATCTTTTATAATAAAAAATACTTAAGATTCTAATAAAATAAATTTTAAAATTAATAGCCGTATATTCTTGTAAGGGACACTTCAATATTATAACAAAAAAAATATTTTTTTATTGAAATAAATTACACATATAAAAAGAAGTCTTTTAATAGATCTTATCATATAACCAAAAAATTTTTCATTGTCCATAACTATTTGAGTAGAAAATTGTAAGAGAAAGGAAAACTAAAAACTTTTCTTAAATTTTTTATCTTTGAAAAACTTTTAAATATAATTTTTATTTTTAAAAAATTAATCATAAGATTACATTTTAAAAAGTTTCCTAAAAAAGTAAATGGAAAAAGACTCATAAAATTCAAAAATTATGAGTAATTCAAAACCAGATTCTTTTCTTGTTTCTTTTGATTGCATATCATGTACTGCATGTACAGTAGATATTGTACCTAGAATGTATAATCAACTCTATGTTATCGTAGAAAATTCACTAATAAAGTTCAAAAATATATAGAAAATATAAAGAAAATTTACGTTATGACAATAAATTATTAATTAAAAATAATAGTATGAAAATAATTTTTAATAAGAATTAATTTATAGGAAAACTTTCATCATTAAATTATCTTTAGAATGGACATGTCCCGTAGACAAAAATCATTGATCATTGTATTGCAATTAAGAGATGCGGCACCATAGTAACAAAAATCTTGTTTCGATTAATTTAAAATTCGATTTAATTTATAATTTAAGGGAAATATTTTGTGTTTATGCACATAATGCGTGCAATATAATCGTAACAAAATAGCCAATAAATTGAAATTCTCTCTCACATCACAGAAGAATAATATACGAACTATAAATAAAATAAAAACAAAAATCATCTTCAAAATATCAACAATCAAGTTTTTAATTTCAATATTCAAAAATCAACAATCAAGAATTAAATTTCAGCGGAATTATCCAAGAATTGAAGGTTAGTCATAAAGCGTATTTATTGTTTATACTGCTGTTATAAAAAAAAACGCAGCATTTTTAATACATAAACTACAATTAATGACAGCAAATTGAAGAAATTTAAAAAAAAAAATGTTAACACTATATCTCTTTTAAGGGCTTGATCGATTAATACTTATGGAAGCTATATAGCCATTTAACTCGATAGATCTTTCTGTTAAAAATAATAATATTCAAATGGGATTTTAGGGGTAAAATATTAATTTTCGCGGTGTCCGCCTATCTCAGAAACGCTTTTTTTTCATAAAGTTGTTCTGCACCTTTCTGCTCCGGAGAGATTATACCACTTTACAAAATAACCCTGTCTAGTAACTAGAATTTATCTGCGTGTTTAATCAAACCAAGAATGTATAATGTTAATATGAAAGAACTGACGCAAAATTAATCATATACGATATCATTGTTTTTATTCTTATTATATAACATTTTCTGAATTATCGTAAAAATTTTTTTATTAAAATTCGTGGCGGAAATAGCATTTAAAACAAAAATTTTAAATTAATCATCAAAAATATTTAAATAATAAAAAAACAATTTTAAATATTATTTTTACAAATATTTTTTTTACAAATTTTAGAAATGTAAATATAAAAGTTGATTAATTAAAAATGCAAATAATTTAATTATTTATGATTAATTTACTTTGTAAATTATACAAAAAGAAAAAATATTACATTTTGTATTTTTTTCTTTCTGTGTAAATAAAAAATTAAAAATTTAAAAAAAAAATTTATCTTGACGCAAATGAAAATTAAACGTTATAGCTATATTTTAAAATTTAGGCACAATTAGGTACATTAAGTCATAATTAACTCATAATAAACTTAAAATTAACTTTAAAATTAAATAATTAGAGTTTCTCTTAATATCCGTTTTATAATAAAGAATTAAATTAGGTAGACGAGACTACCGTAATGTACCTTCACATAGGCCAAATAGGCCCTTTGCGATACCGTTGGACCCACAAAATTCCCCACCCTCACAAGAATCAACCCGATCTTTTCAAAAACCGGCTAATGTTCATAACATTTAAATATTCGTCAAGTGTGTAGTCCATATAAAAGAAAATGGCAAAAGGCATCAGAGCCCGTTCCTTGCCAGAAACGTCGAAGAGATTGCACATCTCTTATGCGACGTAGATCTAGTCTTGCGCACAGTTCTCTAGTTTTAAAAAGCTATTATTAACAACATTGTTAATATTATAAAACATAAAGCATCCAGGAACATTTAAAAGTTTGAATTAATTTTAAACAAAAACTAATAATAAAGATGTATTTAAGGACACTTATATCTTTTACAATTTAGAAAGGCTATCTGGGCAATTTAAAAATAATATCGAAAATGTCCATAAAACAACATATTCTATTGTCCATAATGAAAGAATTGCCTTATTACAATAATAAAATTTACTTATACATTACAATTCGATCTGGGGTAGATATTAGCTTATAAAAACCTAATTGGCATAATTTAGAAAAATTGACTTTTCAACTACAATACGTACGTGTATCATATAGAAAAACTAAATATAAATTTTTTGATAATGACTATAAATTTAAATAATTTAACATTATGTCTTGGAACTAGTCAGTTTCATTCATTCCGAAACTTGAATCTTCGGTAATGACGAATTAATTTACCCAAACACCATATTATATTTTAGTTTGTCCCAAAGCTAGTATACACTATGTGTTTTAACTTGTGAGAAAACATAACAAAACTTCCCGGTCAACATTGTGTTAATATTTTGAAATTTATTGACACAAAATTGTACTATTGTATTTACTAAAAAATTTTCTTAAATACTCACAGAATAAATGGTGATTTTTCTTTTTTTTCAACCATAATTTAACACACTCTATATATGTAGATATTCACAAGAAATATTTATGTATTTTTAAAATAACAAATTATTAATATGAAAATAATTTGATTTTAAATTCAATTTAATTTTTTTTTTTAACACAAATTTATTTAATTTACTATTTTTGACATTAATGAGAATAAAAGAAAATATTTTTAATTTGTTTGAAAATTTTAAATTTGGATTTAAATGTTAACTACATAGCTAGTATGTTGAAATTTTTTTTTAAATTAATTAATATTAAAAATTTTAATTATTTTGAATATTATTTTTAATTAACACTCATTTACACATGCATATTAATACAATAATCATTCATAAATAATTTTTTGTGAGTGAGAAAACACGTGATTTTTTCTTAATTAAATAATAATTTTTAATAATTTTTATTAAATTTTATTAAAATTGTACAAGTATGTAATCCACTTTATGAAATATCATTACTAACTAAGATTTTTTCTTAAATTTTTTTTCAATCTCTAATTCTAAACTAATCAAGATTATTATTACTGAAAATAAAATAAAAAGCATGTTTAGTTGATAAGAAAAGTAACTATTTTTAAGATAATGACATTTTTGTATAACATTGTAAATTTGTGAGTACCTAGATTGTAGAGAAAAAAAAAATATATATATATATATATATTTAATATTTGACAAGAATTTTTTTCTTTTCTTTTATTTATTTTGTCATAATAATGAGATGCAGGCAAGACAGGTACAAACAATGAAATAATTTCTTAATTTCTCTCAAATTTAAATAATTTGAGAATATTTAATATGAGTTTAGGTATATGTGTGTATGTATGTGCAATATAATATAATTCTGTGGTGTTAAGAAAAATCTTGCTTAATTTGAAATTTAGAATTAATATTTTGAGTGCATAATTAAAGGGTACCGACAATAATTTACAAAGTTACTGCAAAGAATACAAATTATACGACCAAATTTCGTTTTCTCACTTTTTCATCCCGCTTGTTATTCACTTTCAAATCGGAATTCTTGTTTTTTTTTTTAATTGAATATGCCATCTTTTCAATAAGATTATTTATTTTTTCAATGAATAGTATAATAAACTGAAGAGGCCTTGAGATATATTAAATTAGTTTTGCCTATAGCCACACAATTATTGGGCACATATTTGAAATCAAGTTTATTATTTATTTAATTTTATTCTAATATAGTGACTGCATTAATTGTACCTGTTCATTTCGTTCACATTGACAAATTATCATTTTAGTGACAGTGCAATATAGATTATTTCACGAGTTTTCAAATAATTTCTAATGATTTTTTTTAAACAATCTATTGTAAGGTTGAAGATAATTGGAAAAGACTTTTATAACTTCACAAACCCCCGTCCCCCTATTACAAGTTATTTAAGCATTATTTACGGACTTTATATTGTTTTTGCTAATATCTTTATTTAAACTGACATTTATAATAATTTTATTATAAAATAATATATATATAAATTATTTATATATATACATGTAGATTTAATAAATATAGGTTACCCCAATAAAATTTATTAATTTTAAACTACGATTACGAATAATATTATGAAAAAATATTTTAGAAACTTCATATTGTTATAATTCCAAAACAAGTTAATCAATAATTTAAGGATTTGATATTTAAAATCAATAAGTCATCTTTGTTATTATAATTTTGTATATAATTAATATCTAGATACACTTTACATAGGAATGCATAAAACATAGAAATGAAATATTATGTATGTATATCCAACTAATTATTCTAATTTATAGACTATGCCCAAAAAAAATTTAAGTTTATATTTATTTTCATTTTTAGCTTTTGTCACATATTTTAGCAATCTATAGGTCTGTCTGTTCATCTATCCTTCCGTCCGAAAGTCTTTACTGGCGTCTGCTTACAAAACTTCTACACTCCTTGAAATAAAAAGTTGAAACCTTATACTAAAACACAAATAACCAACAAAATCCTAAAAATTTTTGACTATTTACTCCGATTTTTCAATTCCGCATACGCAGAAAGGTAGACATGCTTCTTCCGCACATGTTTCTTCTTTCATGGCACAGTACAATTGAACATTAAAAGAGAAAAATGACTATCAAAAGCAACTACTTGTTTTCAAATTTTTGATTTTGGTTTATTGTCCTAGATGACTGACAATAACATTTCTGACATTTCAGTCACTAAAAAATAATGTATTTCGTTAGAAAAAAATTTTTTTCCACTTTGACTCTTGCCCAAATTACAACCTCTCGAAATTCGTAATATTTCAATTTTCGGTGCCATATATTTCCTACTCTACATAAGCTTATCCAAATTTCTATGATAGCTAGGAGGTATAGTGCCATGACGTCAAAAAGTATAATTATTTATCATAGCTCACGCCGTTAAACGCTGAATTTTGGCTATTATTTTAACGCCTCTTTCAAATTTTTTCTTTTGCTCATCCTAAGTGTATGCAATAAATTGATATATTTTAGTGTGTGTATAAAATTAATTTAAATAATGTAATACTTATGAATATCAAATGGACAGTTTATCACTTGTTGAAGAGAAAAGTGCTTTTTTACAAGCTAATGGTTTAATGCAACTTTATTTTTTATTTTCCTAATTATTTACTATTATTAAATATGTTATACAACAATATTCCCATCTACATAATATATATATAGTATGTTATGCATATATTTTATAAAAATTTATTTTAAAAATTTAGACAACCAATCAATTATTATTAGGGTTATAAAATTATTTTATTTTTAAGTAAATAAATTAAAATTATAATTATGTGTTTAATTAAAAAAAAAAAATATATTTTATTTGAATAACGTAAATGAGGTCTAATTATTATCAAATAAATTTGTGTAATTATTTCATCACCATTTAAATAATATATTAAAATTGAGTTATTTGTTCAAATTAAAATTTAAATCAATGATGTTTGTTAGAAAGAAAAAAATTATTTATGTATAATATATTTATAGAAAGAAATATGAATAAATTGTAACGAACCCTCTAAACTGCTATATATAATCCCTCTATAGCTGCTCACCATATAAGTAAGTATGCAACCGAACTCCGCTACTTAACCTCTGCTACTTTATTAAAATATACTTATGCCATTTAGGCACATTTAAAATAATATTTAATATTCAATGCTTTAAGTATGGCCAGGTCCACCTACTGACATAAGACTAGTCAGTTCATCTAATTAATGGAAACAAGCTCATCCCTAAAATCAAATATTTATTTCATTTAAAAATAGGTCATCACAAATTGATCTAATAATTCCAATACTTGATCTATAGTACTTCCAATATAAAAGAAACTCAATAATTATGTATATTTAATAACATTTCATTCAAATTATAAACTGCAATAATTAAAGACTGCATTTAATTAAAAATTCCGTCTGAATAGTTCAGACATTTCTTTAGTCTAACAAAATTAAATTATTTTTAATATCTACACTTCGTAACTTTCTCGTCTTCTTAAATTTTAACCGCAATCAAAAATTAACCGCATATTTCATTTAAAGATCAAATATTAGAGGACCTGTAACGAAAACCTGTAGGGCAGTTACAAAATTCAAGCAATTTATGGTAAGATTTAGAAACTGATAATAATGAATATTAAAACTAATATCCGAAGGCATTAATTACATTCGATTTGTAAGCGATTTGTAAGCGAAAGACTCACTGCATTTTTAAGATCACAATGTCCATGATTACGAGTTTATAAGAATTCGAACAATAAGGTCTATTTGCTACGGTTTAACGGAGTTTGTTAACTTTACAATCATTACATACAACTTTAATATACAACTATATGTACTTTTATATTAATCAAGACCACATTTGAACAGAAGTAACATAACAATCTTCCCCATTTATATGAAAACAAAAATTGAGCCCGATTTTTCGATTATCCCTCTTGTATCGGGAAAATAAACACAAATATGTATGTGTAAAACGAATAAATTTTTTCATAATAAACTTAATAATAGACCTAATAATAGTATCAGAATAAATATTTAATAAGCTTTTAATTTCTCATAATTAAGCAATTATCCTTTTTAAATGAGAATAAAGATGAAAATCAAATGAAACTACGAGTATTGAGAAAATAAAATTTACATGTGTATGTAAAGATCTTTTAAAACTAGCTATTTTCAATAGAAAATTCATAAAAGAAAAATATAAAATTTTATTTTTATTTTTTAGTTAATTTTTTCTTTTTATTACAAAATTTCCTAAAAAGAAAGTTTATGAATATGAAATGAACATTTTATATAGAAATTTTACTACTTATGTATAGAGAAAATTCAATAAAAAAAGAAAAGTTTTTTTAATATTGTAAAGAAATATTATTCATTCATTCTAAATATAATGTGTATGTTTTTATATAAATAATATTAATATTTTTGCTATACTCATATACGTACATTTATTTTTATAATAGAAAAAACTTTGTACATATAGCCTGGAACTACCCACATTATTTCGTTGTATTATGCTAATTATAAATATAACAATCATATGAATTCTGTATGGCATTTAGAAAGAATAGACCAACTCGACTTAATTAAAAGTTGAAACATCAAATGGTTCGAAAAAATACTTAAAACAAATTGGTACCATATGTGGTACCATACATATAAAACAACAACTATCACCTATTTCGGCATAGAGTGTAGAGTATTTAATTTCTTGAAATGAAACGCAAGGGCAACATCGATTTAATTAAAATATTGTATCGGGAAGGCAGCCGTCGGGAAAGTACGATCCATGGGCAGCATGCTAACCATTGAAATTTTGAGAATTTTAATCATAGATAACAGGTATAGGAACATAAAATTTCATACAATATTTCAATAAAGTCAATTGAAAATGTCATTTTTCTTGTAAGTACGTAATGTAAGAAGCTCGAGTGGCTTATACTCATACTCAGATAGTACATATTTGCCCATAACCGACAAAAGTTTGCTGATGACTGCAGAATGGAATCGATTTGACATAGTATGAAATCCAAATATACTAAATCGGCCAGAAAATTTTTCAAACAATTTGTATGAATACACATAGTAAAACAATCAAAATAATT